AGAGCACGCACGTGGGAAGTTACCACGGAGCAGCTGGGACCTGATAATGCCCATCCTTTTTTTCCTATGGTAAGTTGATTATGGTCCATACCCCGAGAAAAAATACAGCTAAAACAGAGGGGCACACATGTCTGGAGACTGTAGGATAGCCATGGAAGGATCTATGGAGAAAGAACATAAAGACCACTAAGAGAGAACGGATATCATAGGCGATACAACTGAGAGGGAACGGTGTACACAGGGTCTAAAAGTCCTATTTATGCTTTTGCAGGATACAAGAAACAAGGGGGAAAAGAAATATTAAAACTGCTACAAGGATTTTTTTCATGCAATGCTTGACCAACCAGCAGAAGTCATTACTACAAGACATCGCTGAACGCAGTGGCCTTACTGATTCAGAAAAGGATTAGAAAAGCTATAAGAAAGCAAACACAAAAGTTGCAATGCCAGTTCAAATCAGTGGCTCATTGCTGCTTACAGTGGCTAGTATTTGGTGTTCTAGAAGGAGTTGCAATAAAAAATTAACCCACAGCAGGCAATAATAGACTGATCTGCCCATACTGACATTTTCTGCTTAATTCCCGTTAGCTTCAACTTGTTTTTGTTACTAAACATGTAAACCAGTGATCCTACACCAGAGTGCCTCTACTTGCAGGAAGTGTGAGGAGATAACCAGTTAAGACATCACTCAATCTCCAGGTGTGAAGAGATGAACAGATAAGGCTTATCAGACTCTCCCTGTCTTGCAGCTCCTCCACACCCACTTCCTGGCCCTCTGCAAAGACATAGGCACCGTAATTTAGTTTTTAAACGGGTTGCCACTCATGTCACAAAGTTTTGGGGGGTGCCTCGAGTCTCAAAAAAATTAAAAACCACTGAAGTAAATCTTCAGGCTTTGAAGTATAATGGAGCGAGTGATAGAATAAGAAAGACGTTTCCTATTACAGGTGATTTCTTAAGTCATTAGCAAGTTTCTTGTGAAGGGTCAGGTTTTGGCTGCTGTTAGATATGGGTTACCAGAATACACAAACTGCTCATCTGACTTAGTAGGGCAAGTCGTGTGTGCCCATCCCTTTGAGCCTTTGAGTTTGATGATGAGCAGAAGCTGACAAATCCTATTGTTTGTCTGCACAACAAAAGGAAGGTGTCACTGGAGTTCACACCAGCTTTAAAATACTTAATGCAAGTAACCACAGCAGCAGTCATGTTGACACAGGCTTCATCTCATGATGGTAACCAGGGTATTCGCCCAATGTCCCTGGTGGGAAGGACTAGTTTGGATGCTGGAACAGGCTGAAGCTAGCGTTGTACCTAGGCTAGCATGTCTAAACCTATCGCAGCTATGAGTCTAAAAGATGTTGATGGTTTCACATCTTTGTTTGCCACGTGCATAGAGCTAATTGAGAAAGCAGCATCAGCTGTAGGGGTTTTGCTTGTAGTCATGTTGGTCTAGGCACTGGCAGGCAGTTAGTTGTCTGTACTTCAGCTGCTCAGGGAGGGAAAGGCATTAGACCAGCATTCATTTCTCATTTTTAGTTCCCAAATAAGAATGATTGCAGCTAGGCCAGCCCCAGCAACGCCTTTGGTTTAACGTACTCTGCTCATTTCCTGATAAAAAGCATGCATATGGAAGAATGCTGCTTATGGGAATTGCCCCTGGCCATCGCCAGAGGGGAAGCATTGTTCTGTGGCTCCCCATTGTGCTTTTAATGTAAAATTAAAGTTGGTAGGCACTAAGGAAGAGAGGAAGTAGGTGGTAGATGCTGGCTGCACCAAGAAGGAAGTGCTTGCAGGAACATGATGTGCAGGCATTTTTCTCCAAAAACTCCTCACCATAATGACACTTAGGGCAAAGAAGCACAGCAGTTGCACACTTACATTTCACTTCGAGCATAAAGGGACAGTCCCAGGTACAAGTGTTTGACAAAACCATGGAAGTTATAAAGGGGAAATGGCCAGTAGTTCAAACTCCAGTGTTGTAAGTTTGGTAGTCTTGTGCACATAAACAACGTCTTGCAAATGTCTTAAGCTATGATTAACTTCCTTTTATAATGCTCTTTAATTTTGTGCAGCACTTACATAGCAGATCTCTAGCTAATGTAATAACGTAATGGAGACACTGAGTTTGGTAAATTCATTCAGATTTCTGCAAGATAACGGAATTGCTTCAAACTCTGGGTGGATATCGGGAACTTCAGCAAGAGTGCTTAGGTTATATTTCTGCTTTTATATCCAAATGAGGTCAGTGGGAGCCGCTGAGCACTTGGCACTTGAAAAATCAGGCAATTTAAATGCCCAGTTATGGATTTTAGAACATAAGACAAACTTTTTTTGGACATTCTGGCGACATTAGGCTGTGTGCGCTATTCCTGCCTATTGCTATAAAAGAAGGAAGTCTTTCTTGCCTGGTTGATTTGCTTTAAAATGATGGAAAAACTGGGAATCCAGAATAAATGATGGTTGCAGAATTCTACTTTATACAGAATTGTTTTCCCCTTTGAATTGTTGTCACATAAAATAAGATCAATATTATCCATTGTAAGCCAGCATCTGCAGTATCCCGGCAGTGTGCAGCTTGAGCAGTAGGTCTGTGATTTTTTTCAAAGTAGCAAAAGGTATCCAGATACATTTTTCGTATTAAAATCAGTGAAAATGACTGTACCAGCACTCGAAATCGGTTCCAGAATGTCACTTCGTCCATTTGAGAGCTATCAGTGGACTTCGTGTTGGACAGGTCACTTAAGAAACCTGCTATTTCCTGTAACGCTCAAATAGCAAATCAATGGTTGTTTCTTCTACTACAGTGATAAAACATGTATTTTCACAGTCTTTTTCATTGTTTCAGATGAGTCCTTTGAAGTGATCAGATTCATATTCTCTGCTGCAAAGCACTAGAATATGTTTTTGCCCTAGAACTCAGGCTTAAAACTCAGGTGTGTTGGAGAAGTTTTTTCTAGCACATTTTATAGTTTTTTCCTCTGCTAGGAAAGTTTGCTCAAAGTGCATCTGAAGTCATGAAAGTCTATTTACAATTATTCTCCCCGGTAGTATAGGAAAGATCATTTAGAAAAGGGAAATTAGGACAAAGAAATATTACAAACGTTTTCTAGTTAGAAATTTTGCAAATTGCAATAGAAAAACCATTGCACATGGTAATATTCTCTCCCCTATTCAGTGACACTGCAGTTCATTTTGTTTTATAAGAGGTTGTTGCTTCTTTTATATTTTCCTGGTGTGAATACCCCCAGTTCAGCGTTCTTGTTAATTTATTCAGGCCAGTGGAACGTTTTCACCAGCTCTCTTCTGCGAAGAAGCCCAAACATTCATCATTTTAGAAACTTAAAATGGACTATAGGCTAAAGTCCCAACCTGAGTTATAAAATCTTGACTACTTTTCCCATTCTGCATTGAATTTATTTTGTGGCTTGGAAAAAGTTGCTTATTCTTTCTGCATCTCATCTCCCATCAAAATTAACAAAAATGGTAAAGTATTGAAAATCTCGGTGGGGATCACGCTGTAGATCTAAAAAGCATCTGCAGGATTATGCCTCAGGCCTCTGTAACTCATAAAAAGCGGATAAAATATTTTTAATTAGGAAATGACATTTGAGCCAATGACTGTTGGCAGCCCTCATCTTAAACACGACAGCTGTCGCACGTTTAGAGCAGGAACCTGGCACAGCAGACTGTCGGAGCCAAATTTTTAAAGGACCCCACTACTGAACTGCCACACAATTGACACATACAAGTCGGAGTTGTACATGTGCACAGATACAATCAAAACTGCATTTGCAAATCCTCAGGTGTACAATTATATAAAGTTTGGGGTAGAAGCTTCCCTTTTGGGTCTTAAATGAAAAGAATATACCAAGCGGTTTTGCAATGCTGCATTTCAGTATTCCACCTTCTTGAAGTCCCAGCTAGTCTCCCGTTTCAGCGGCATGACAAGTGCTGGGTCATTTGATGTGTACGCTGCTCAGGGCCGGATTAACCCTTTAGTGGGCCCTAGGCAAACAAACTCATGGGCCTCAAGCCGGTTGAGACCCTGCTCCCCACCCAAGCGCTGCCACCCACAGGGAGGGGAAAGGAGGCAGACTGGTCATTCCCCACCACCGCAGAGGGAAGGACCGGGCCCTCACCCCCAGCAGCTCAGGGCCCTAGGCATGTGCCTAGTTTGCCTATGCGTTAATTTGGCCTTGATTCTGCTGCCAGTAAAGTTGTGCTCATTTAATAGAAGGATTTCTTGCAAAGGGGTGGTTTTGCTTGTGTGCAGTTAGGATGGGACGTGCTCTCTGCAGAGGTAGCATAGGAGCTTGCATTCAGAGTCCTATGAGTGCTCAGCCAAGGGTTTGCAAAATTCATTGGGTGGATCATCACTTACTAAACAGTGTCTCATCAAGCAGAC